CAAGACCGTGGTCCACTATGGCCCCCATGATCACCCGTACGACCTCCTCGACCACCTCGATAACCATCACTATGGCTACTAGGAACCACAAGAGCTGAGCGATCAGTGGAAACACCAGGATTGATACCTGAAGTAGACAAAGTAGCACGCTATATACGAGAGAAAACCTCAAGTAGTGAGGAAAAAGTAGAACCACCCAAAATTTGAGAACGAATACCCTTATATTTAAGTTTCAAACCCACCAAAAACCTAACAACATTTATGTCCTCATGTTGCTTCTGTCAAACTGCTGCTTCAGTAGTAAACGGATGGAAGGTTTTCATCTCCTCACAGACTCCCCGAACGTGAGAGTAATAGTCTTCAATGCTCAGATTATTCTGTTCCAGTCAGAAATACTCTTTGCACACCTCATAAGCTCAAGTAAAATTACCCATACCAGAATACATAGTGGTCAAGTGATCTCATATCTCCTTGACAGTGTCAAGGTAGAGCAAAGTAGAACTAATACCAGGCTCAATACTATTCAATAATAAAAAAATAATTTAAGCATCCTCTTGTTCCCACTGATCATACCCAAGAGTGTCTTCCTTTGGTTTAGTATTCACCAAATATTTCTTAAATCCTTTGCCTCAAAGAAACACTTGAACAGATCGGGACCATAAAGTGTAATTAGTCCCATTAAGTTTGACAGAGGTCATGGGACCATTAATAAGAGTCGGAGGAGACAAAGATGGAGTAAGAGACCCGGTATCTTGTTTGGGGTCCATAATAGTGCAACAAACCGGAAAGGAAAGGAGTGCTACAATGCTGAACAGGAGGAAAGGAGGCTAAACCGGCCTAGAAAACCGTTGAACCGGCCTGGTTTAGCCCAAAGGAGGCCGCTGGGAGGCTAAACTGGCCTTGGTTTAGCCCAACGAAGGTTGTTGGAAGGCTGAACCGGCCTAGAAAACTATGGAACCGGATTGATTTAGCCCTCTGGATCACTGAACCAGCCTTGCTAAGGCTACTGGAAGCCTGAACCGGACCGATTTAGCCCTTTGGACCGCTGAACCGGAGTAAAAATAGAAGAAACTGGTCTGAGCCGGTGCAAAACTGCCTGCACTGACTTGGAATGGATCAAACTGGGGTGAACCGGCCTAGTCAGGGTCTGGACCGGGTTTGAACTGGATCCGGTTTGGTCTGGATCGGGTTTAGTTTGGACCTTGGGCTGGACCAAGTCTGAAGTGGGCCGAACTGACCCGACAACCTTGTTTTCTTCGTTTGATTAGGGTTTCAGTGAATCCTGGTCTTGACTGTGCCTCACCACCACTACGAACGACAGCCCACCACAATTGCCACACCACCACTACGACGTCGGCAACCCTGGTCTTCGACTGAGCCTCACCACCACAAGGAACGACGGATGATGGCGAACGACAGACCACCACAACAGTACCACCACCACCACGATGGCTAACAGCACCACACCACCACCACGAGCAACAACACTACCACAATAGTACTACTACCACCACCACGATACTTCGACAAACAACGGCACCACAACAATACCACCACCATAGGAGAAGACAACCAACGTCGACCAACACAGGACCAACAACAACACCACCACCACCAGTCGATCTCCGACAGTAAGTCACACAACGACTAACACTTGAGTTAATATTTGAATTTTAAAATTATTCATGCTCTGATACTATATTAAGTTTGTAAGATTAACAAAATATTAGAGACAATATTTTGGGAGAAACAGAGAGAGGTTAAAACTTAACCTAGCTCTCATACATCACTGGTATTTATAGTTAACCTACAATAATAAGAATTACACATACACCCTCTTACTATTAACAATTTATACATACTACCCTACTATTCTTAACAATACAAAACAATAAAAATGCAATATTCAAACTAGGAAAAGAAAGAAAGCAGTGTTATAAGAAGACTATGTAAATTCCATTCCTCATTACTCAGGTATCTCATCTATAACTAGGATCAGAAGATGATGTAATCTTGTCCCTTGTTGAGCCAGATATCCCATACAGATTGAGGATTGTACCTCAAGCACAAAACAACATCAATGCCTTCTTGCTTTTAAAATCATCACACCTAAGCTCCTGGTAGCTTCTGCTATTTCAAGAACATGGTTGCATTCCTTGCACATCATCTGTATCAAATGTGAAGATCCATTAGGGATTGTCCTTGTAGTGCTCATCCTCATCGACAAATCAGTGGACCCCTTTATGGAGATCCTTGCATTGGCAGTCAACTCCAGCTACCTGGTTTCTAGAAAAGTTTGGGCAATTTGTTCATTTGCTATTAAAATTTTTGGAGGGAAGCAGCATTTGATCATGTTAGAGTAATTAGGTTATTTAGACTTAGGGGTAGCTTAGTCATTTTGTTTACTTTTATATTGCCCTAGCTTAGTCTAATTGTTTTCCTTTTGCCCTACTATATAAAAACCTCTTATATAATAATTTTGTTTTAAGTAGTTTTCTTTTAAGGTTGTTCTGGTTTATTGTGCCTTAATAATATTCTGTTCTTCTTTCTCTTACTTTTCTATGATTGATCAAAGTTAACATGGTATCAAAACATGCTTTCGATCCAAAATATATTGTAGCACCACAATAATTTAGTTGGAGAAAGAACTTATTCTTAGATTAGGGCTGACATCATCTATGGCGATTTATTCTTGGATTAGGGTTGCTGATTTTTTTTTTGTGGTTCTAAAGGCTGTGAATAGTGCGGAAGTTACTGTTCACGCACTGTGACACAGTACCGAAGTTACTGTTCACGAGCTGTGAACAGTGCCGAATTCGACTGTTATGGGTATTTGATTTGCAAAATTGTTGAGTTGATTTGTGACAAACTTTGCATTGTTTGACTTTGGCTGCCTCTTCTCTTTTGTTGGTGCTTCTCATTGTTGGGTCTTCCTCGCTGAACTAGTCTTTGCAAGGTAAGAAATCCTAACTACTAGGGTTTGTTAATTTTGACTGCTGCTGGTTTAGGACTAGTTCTGATTTGACTATTCTTCTGTTAACTTGGGCTTGCTATTTGACATAGCGTTGCATTGTCTGGGTTTGTTTGCATTGTTTGTTTAGGCTGGCTATTTTACATAGCATTGCATTGTTTGGGTTTGTTTGCATTGTTTCGCACTGAATATGCAGGAAATTTTTGTTTCCTTTCTTACTGATTGGTGGGTTTGAGCCTTTGGGACTGATTTTGTGAACGAACGGCTGAGTGAGTATTTGATTTGCAAAGTTGTTGAGCTTTGGTTTTCTGTTGGGCCCTTATTTGATATTTGGGTGTTGGGTTGTTGGATTTTGCTATGTTGTTAGGTTGCTAGATTTTGTTTGTTTTCTTTAATATTTGCTTTGGATTGCTTGATTTGGGTATTATGGTCAATGAAAATTCTGATTCTCTTCATGCTATCAGTGTCAGATTAAAAGGTAAGAACTATGTATATTGAACTTATGTTATGAAAAATTTCTTGTTGGATAAGAAAATATGGAGATATGTTAGTGGTGATTCGTCAGCTCTAACTGATTTTAAGGTCGAGAAATATGTTGACTTAAAGAATACTTGAAAAATCAACAATGCTAAAATCATCACTTGAATTAACAATTCAGTTGATCAGACCATTGATGTTCATTTGACTAAGTTTAATACAGCCAAGGAGATTTAGGATTATTTAACTATCTTATTTGTTCAGTCTAATTTTGCAAAGAGATATCAATTAGAGTATGAAATTCGAGCTGCATATCAGGGTGATAAGAACATTCAGGAGTTCTACTCAATTATGACTGGATATTAGGATTAGTTAGCACTTGCTAAACTTGCTAAACTGAGTACTCATTTGATATATCGCACTTTTAGAGAGAAGCAGAGGTTGGTACAATTTTTGATGGTCCTCAGGGATGATTTCGAGGGACTTCGCGGTTCTATTCTTCATCGTAATCCACTTCCCTTAGTGGATGCAATAGTGAATGAGTTTTTGACCGAAAAAAATCGTCTTAAGACTCTTTCTGGAAATAGTCTTATTTCATTGCCTACTCAGACTATATTGGCTGTGCCTTTCACTGTGACTTCTAAATATCGGAGTCGTGTAACTTTAGATGAGTGTAGCTTCTGTCATGAGAAGGGCCACTGGGAGGCTCAATGCCCTAAACTGATGAACAAAAATGCAAAGGGGACAACAAATCAGTCAGCAATTACAACACCGGCAGTGGATAAGTCCTCCTCACAGGCACCCAGCCTAACTATGCTTGCTGATCAATTGCAAAAGTTAATCTCTCTCCATCAGCCTGGTACACTTACAGTATCTCCTTCAGTAAGTTCATTTACCTCAGGTCCTTCAGGATCCACAGTCCAACAAGTTGATTGGGACATGCCGTAGAAAGAGAGGACTGTATGCAGTTGACAGATTTCTTCACAAAATCGCATCTTGTCACTTACTTTCGTTTTCTTCTTGACAAACTCTTGATATTTTCTGCTACCACATTATGAGGTTGAGGGAGGATGTTAAAGTAGTTAGGTTATTTAGACTTAGGGGTAGCTTAGTCATTTTGTTTACATTTATGTTGCCCTAGCTTAGTCTGATTGTTTTCCTTTTGTCCTACTATACAAAGACCTCTTATATAGTAGTTTTCTTTTAAGGTTATTCTGACTTATTGTGTCTTAATAATATTCTGTTCTTCTTTCTCTTACTTTTCTATGATTGATTTCTCTTACTTTTTTATGATTGATCAAAGTTAACAGAGCATACCCAGTTTCATCACTGCCACGTGTGATACACCTTCTGTTAACTTGGATGGAATTCCTAACTTTGCACTTTAATCCAGTAAACAAGTGAGGGTTATGTGGAGGTTTATAAATAACAGGGAGGTAAAGTACATTTGGGAAATAGCACAGGGGTAAAGTGAAGTTTGCCCTAAATCATATTAAAAGACCAAAGAAAAAGTGGTACAATAATTTAATTCAAAGTACATGAATAATGTCAGCTAGGCGTCCAATTCCTGAAGATGATCAAAACTAAATAAAAAAAAAACACAAAGAGCACATCATCTTACTTTATTTAAAGAGCCATGTTGTACCAATCCACGTGGACCAACGGCCATGACGGCAACAGTCTGCATTATCCAAAATTAAAAAACCAGTAACATAATTCATCTGAGAGATTAGAAGAGATTATAAGCAAATAGAATAACATGCCATACAAAAGTGTTCAATGATAGCACAAATTGAATGGTAACTTTTGAAAAAATAAGGCATTACTATGCCACTGCCATTTTTGGCTGCAAGATCAAAACTTTATAACTAAAACCTACCTCCTATTTTTCTGGGGAAAAAATAATGGTACAAGATAGACATATTTGCAGTAAATTTAGGTCGAAGAATTGAGTCGGTTACAGGGGAACACACACAAATTCAAAGTTGAAGCAAAAAGTTGAATATAAACCTTTATCAAAATATAGTTGACTGTTGACCCATAATGAGTGTTTGAACTGGGTGAACAACACCTGGAGCAGTTCTGCACAATCAGAGAGGTTTCACAGCCATGGGCGAGAAATTTTAGTCTTAACTTGAACCTCGAAATTCTTATCAAAAGAATGGATTTTCAGACAATGATACTTACCTGAACAATGTACAATGTATTATCAACCACAAGCTTTGTCTATGAGTTATCAAACCACCCGGCAGAGAGATATAAAATAGTTGAAAATGGTTTTAAATGTGTATTGAGAAAGCAGCTAGCTCCAGCATGAATTCATGCAAAGTATGCGTCACAACAACGATGGCAGCAAATAGTAACAAATAGGCTTCAAGATGAATAGAATTGATAAAATCCAGAATACACTCTAACAGGCAGGGAAAATGAAGGAAAAACCATCCATAGGCATGCACAAAGAGAACAAAGAACATTACCAGCGAGTATGATTTAAAGGACATCAACAAGTTAGCAACCTGTAACTTATGGACTATTGGTGGTACAGGAATCTTTGACCAGCCTGTATAACTGCCACGAGCATCATATAAATTGGTGAGCAATTATATTGATTACTCTTTTCTTTCCCTGATTCAACTGTTTAGACGGTCCAAAGTCCAATCTTATCAGCTTGCAACTATTGGTCGCTTGACTCCACTTCTATCTTTGCTTGGTAGCTGAACTTGGTCTCATTTTAGAAAAGATTATACGACAGTGGTATTATATGCGAGAACAAGTGAAAGATGACATGTATCAACAGACACGGTATAGTACAAGATTTTATCCTGTCTCCCATACGTCTGCCAATAGAACAAATTTGAACATGACAGACTTGATTGGCCATGTTTGAAGAAGTCCAAAACAGTAAGATGTAAGCTATGGGTGACAAAGTAGTCTGCCAGAAATTGCAGTGGCNCGGTATAGTACAAGATTTTATCCTGTCTCCCATGCGTCTGCCAATAGAACAAATTTGAACATGACAGACTTGATTGGCCATGTTTGAAGAAGTCCCAAACAGTAAGATGTAAGCTATGGGTGACAAAGTAGTCTGCCAGAAATTGCAGTGGCACGCCTCCCAGTTTTGAGTTACCAAGCTCATTGTTTCCGAGTCGGTTCAACTCATACCAGAAGAAGTATTATGCTTATTGTGACAGTGAGAGAAACAGAATGAATAGTCAGACCACAAATTAATCAATGATACTACTAAAACCCAGATAACCCTGGTTTATATCTTTGCGTGTATCTGTGCATTGCAGCAATAATCACAAAAGAGTATACCTAAATTAGTTAAGGAACAGAAGAGCAAGCATAACCTAATCCCAGCAGAGAACTGACTTTGCCATCCGTCCCAGTTCTGGAAACCACAAAATTAGAGATTAAGAATGGACGGCAAGGAAAAGTAAAAATGAATAAAGAGTCTAAACATGAAAACAAGAGATGCAAGACAGAGAAAATTGGCCAACGGAGTAATGCAACTTACATTTGAGCTTGTTTGAGATTCCAAAAGATGGAATACTTCCACTCGGTGTTGAAACACAGGCTCCTGAGTGCTTGGTGAAATGGACTACCCATCTCTTCCTCAAGTTCAAAACAAAAATAAATTCTATCACCCTGCCAAACCTATACACCGTGTAAATCAAATAGACCCCAAGAAAAGGAAACCCTAATTTCGTCCAAACTGCAAACCCTAACTGCCTCTCTAAGAACCTCTTCCAGCCTGTTTTCTTCCCAATCCCGCTCGCCGCTTTATTGGTGATCCCTCCGTCGGAAGCAGCAAACTGTCCATCCCCATCCTCATCCTCACTCTCTCACCAACGACTAGCAACCTAATTTAAGAAACAAACTACAATCCCCAGTAAAAGAATTGTCACAACTTAACTAAAGCAAATACAAGAATTTCCGTATGTACAACTTATGTTCAAGAATTTCTTCATCTATGTTCAATGATTTGATATGTTTCTTCAATTTCAAGACTTTTCAAAGAATCCTTTCAGATAAATCCGAAGAAACCAGAACCAATAATGTGAAATTTAGCTTATGTCCGACGACATTGACGATTCAAATCACTGTTATACTAATTTCGACGAATTCCGTAACACCGAGTTGAATTCTTGCGATCAAGATTGATCAACAACGTATGCAGTTAACCCAATTCTAGAAGAAGAAGAAGAAGAAGAAAAAAGGTAAGCTCGTCGTTTCCAGGTCGGTTCAACTCATCACCATCAGTAATCTTTTGGAAAGTGTACCTTCTTGGCAGCTCAGACTCACAGTCACCAAGAAACTCTTAACGAATCAAGAGCATTGGGCGCCATTGCTTCAAGAAAGTTTCAAGATTTACGAATACAAGTTCCACTTTTAGACAGAGAAAGAAGACCACAACGGGTTGCGCAGAGAACATATTGCTGTTGAATGCGCATCGTCACTATTTTATATGCTATACAGGATGCGCAGTACGCACCCCTTTCCCGCTCCACTCTCGCTGCTCCGGCATGTGTATATTTGTGCTCTTCGCCTTCTACTTTCCTTTAATTACAAAACCGGCCCCATATCAAAAGAAGATTGCAAAACCAGCCCCAACAGTTGTTAGTTGGTTAGTTAACCATGGGCTTGAATGACCATTACACCCCATTATAAACAAGAATAACAACCGCACCCCCCACTTGCACCATGTAGAGATAGGAGTGTCCATGGTCGCGCCAGACTTCTCCCGTTAAATCTTTTTTGGGCTAGACCTAGGTAAAATAGTCTCAAGTCCAAATGAACAGGGATGTGCTGGGCTTTGGGTAGGTGTAGGCTAGGCCTATGGGGCAGAGTTTTTTATTCATAATTTTATTTAAGACAGTTTTAATATTTTATATTTAATTGTCACATCTAACATTTTATAGGTGGAGTTTCACATATATTGTACATCATATGATTTTTTTTGTATTTTAAATTATTCTTATTACACATACTTCTAAATGTCCTAAATTTATTTTCAGAACTTATTATATGATAAATAAAATGTCTAATTTTATCAAATACAAATCTAATATAATGGAGACTATTTTGTATTATGGGATTTATGATATGACACATACATCTCATATCTATATCTATATTACTTAGTGTTATCAGAACCGAACCGGACCGATCAATTCGACCGATTAGACCATGAACCGGGACCTCAGCCGATCTGGTTCTTGAATTGAACCTCTTAAGGAGTTAAATCGAAATAAAACCGTCAAACTAGATGATTTAGTCAAACCGAACGGTTCTATTGCCTTTTTTATAAAAACCACCAAATCCCTAATTTTACCTTAATTCTAGTCATCTACATCGTCTTCTCCACTCAGACGTTGGTGGATCAGACCAGATTGTATACGATTCAGACCAGACCAAGCTTCACATATCAAGCTTCACTCCATCGTCTTCTCCACTCTTGTCTAATCAAACAACTCCTTCTCCACTTGATCTCTCTTTGCTCAAGCTTCACAGGTCACAGCTTCGGTTAGCGATCCTTTACTCTTCACAGCTTCGATCCTTCAAGCTTTTTCGCTCCTCCTTCGACCTTCAACTCAGTGGAGATCTTCTCTCTCTCCTTCCCTGTATCATAATAGGTTGTTCAACAGTCGGTGTTGGTTACTTGGTTAAGTTAATTGTTTTTTTTTTTTGACCAGAATTGTTACAACTGTTAAGAAAAAAAAAATTTAGTATTCTTGTCAACTGATGTTAAGAACAAAATTTTCTTAACAATATTTTTCATTTTTAACATAGGTATTTTTTTTATACTTAATTAATTTATGATAAATTATATGTATTAAGTACATGTTTTATATTTTTTTAGTCAAATTATTATATTTTATAATTTTTTTATTATTTGACCAGTTCAACCAGTTGATCCCGTGGTTGAACCACTAAACTATTGACCCGGTCCCTCTGTCAATTTGATGTCTGGTCCGGTTCTGATAACTATGATACTACTAATAAAAATACTTTAATATAAAAAAATTTTGATTCACTATGTTGCCCTTAAAAGTACCTTAACATGAAAAGTTTTTGATTCATTATTTTGCCCTTATAAAAAAATATAAAGGCTAACATGTTCTTGTGTATTTAAATATACAAATTATCATTATATATCTTTATATTTAAATAACAAATTAATCTCTAATATATCATGTGAATATCTCTATCTTTGCAAATTTTTTGAATAATTATGTTATGCTTAATATGATATATAAAAACAACATTTTTTTTCCAAAACTCCAATATTAATACACATTGACAACTTTATTAATACAATATCATCTCTAATACCCAAAAATAGATGTATTTATCTTATTTCTTCATTCATGATAAACTAATTTGTTAAAAATTATTGATGCACAAAGTAAAAACAAGAAAGAAAAAAAATCAAAAAAAAAAAATCTATAAACTTTACTATTAGGTAGCTCGAATGAAAGAATTACACAAAATAAGTCAATTTGATATTTATAGTTATGAAGAGAATACAAACAATTTTAAGTATGATAAATATGAGATAATATCTAATATAGTTACATAATTACATTTTTTATATATTTTATCAAATGTTTCAAAAAAAAATTTTACGTTTAATGCACGTCGTGCATTGCTAGTATGAAAAAAGTACATTCACATAGTAATATTAAAAAATATTTTAAATGACTTGCAACCCCACTATTATGTGTTACATTAGTTAAAGTAATAGTAAAAGTTTTGTTTTGAATATGATAAATTTGTAACTGATTATAAATAACTTTAAAAATAATTTTTACACCTAACTTTTTCCCAACTATCTATCAAATTTTTTCAGAGTTTCAAATTTAATGTATCTAACTTTTTTCAAAGGAAGGTTGGGCGAGCTATTCGGGCTGGGTTGGGAGGGTTCTTGGGTTGGGTTTTTACAGGTGGATTATTGGACCAAATTTTGGGCCAAGTAATGGGTTTAGGATAGGCTCTAGCCCCCTCTTGAACGATATTGGATTCGGGGTCGAGCGGGTCAACTATCGAAACAAAATTGTAACTTGACCTTTAATTATGTTAAAATAATTTTTAGTATGGTGTCAAAAAATTAGTACTAGGTGGGATAATCTTACCCTTTCATCACATGATTATTTAGGTTATTCTTCTAGCAACACACCACATAAACATTATCCTTGGAATCCCATGATTTTGCTTAACAATGCAATCAATCTGCATTGATTATAGTCTCTGATTTCTAACCATGTTTAGCCTCTCTCTTTTTTTTTTTGTTCTGTTTTCACATGAGAATTTTTGGTGTGACGTCAAATAATCACATGCTTAATCAACCATTACAATCATCTATATGATGTTGCTTTAATCCAATAGATTTTGTCCATGGGAACGTAATAACGATGTTTTAACTTCTATTATTTTTTGTTAGAAACATAAAATAAGGATGTTTAACTTGGTGCGGCAATTTTATAAGGTTTTGGATTGCACTTGTATTCACATGCTACCTTTTTATTAGGATAAATCTCTTAGATCCTATCATCATATCTTAATCTTAACCATGTAGATAGAGATAGATCTCTTGGATCCTATCATCATATCCTAATACTCTCCCTTAAGTTGGTACACTAATGAGTTGAAGTGTTAAATTTGAACTAAAAATATAGTGGTTATTCATATTGTAACTTGCACCCCTCTTTGATACCAGGGGAAGTAGTTCTGTCGAGTTTGAGCAAGACTTGTTGGGACTATAGCAATGTAGAGACTGAAGTTATTGTCAAAAGTGTAGCTTGATAACATTTTTGTTGATGTTGCTATAGTGATAAAACTCCCCCCCCCCACCCCCTCTAAATAACAAGATGGGACAAAATAAGAACTCCTTTTTTTTTAGTTCTATTTTTTTTTCTTCTTTCCCATCACCTCTTGAATCCTATCATCATCATATCCTAATACGTTTATCATTCTCATTATATCGACCTTTTTATCATTCCTATTCCCTCCTCCCTTTTCATCTCTCTCTCTCTCTCTCTCCCCCTTTGCATCTCTCTCTCTCTTCCTCTCTCTCTTTTTCTCTCTCCCTCACACATACATTATAGATGGGATTTGAGAACCAAATTATCCTAAGTAGATCTTGTAGCTTAGCTTTTTACTAACAAAATATCTCGAAGAAATGGAGAATGACTACTTATTAGTCTCCACAATCATGAGTAGAGGTTTGATCTTTCTAAGTCAACAAAGGCAGGGCTAGGGAGATGACTTAAGATTTTTGAAAAAAAAAAAATTAGAGAGAGGACTTGTGAAGTTTAAGAGATTTTATAACCAGTACAAGTATAATACCAGAGGTTTCTAACTTTTTTTTAGGAGGCTACCACCCCCACCAACCCCCTTACCACCTATATCCGTCATTGGATATATATAAGAATAAAAGAGCAGCACAGTGCAATATTATTTCGTTTGCAAATGATCATATGTGCGCAACCTAATCTTGTGTCTGTTTTTTTAGACTTGAAATCTTGAAATTTAAGACATAATGGAGTAATCTTATTGTTATGTTTTCATGATTGTATATAAATAAAATTGATGAGTCAGGCTCAATGGCCCAACTCATGCTACAAGCCCAATTTAAATTAAAGAACCCAACTTATAAAAAGGTGGTACCCATTCTAAAAGGGTTTACGCCCGGTCAAGCTCATTAGGGTTTAAGGAGCTAAATTGCCAAGGGAGTAAGTNAAGGTGGTACCCATTCTAAAAGGGTCTACGCCCGGTCAAGCTCATTAGGGTTTAAGGAGCTAAATTGCCAAGGGAGTAAGTAGGGTCATCCAA